CATAGAGTTACTGTGTGAATTCAGTGAGATTGTACAAGGGTTTCAGTCATAGTGGTTGATGACAGTGTTGAGAAGGTGGTCAGCCCAGGTTGAAAGAACTCTGTTGTCTACCGTGCTTTCAGGAGGGACATCACTTAAGCACCTGGGACAGGGAGCTAATGACCGTTCTCAGTAATCAGAATACAGTACTCCCCAGTGTCTGAAAATTCTACAAAGTGAGTTTAAATCTCTCTGTGGAAATTTTAGTTTGCTTTTTTTCCTTTTGTTTCTTTCTTAGTAAAGATAAAAGAAAGATCATTCAGATCATTGGCAACCGTTGGTCACAACTCTTGGTCAGTCTCAGGGATTGTTACTAGATTATTTCTTTATTGTCTCTCCTTGGGGATAATTAATTTCACTTTCCTCAACATCCCTTTTGAGTGCCCATCTTCTGAATGTTTACAGGAGTTATTTTTTGCTTTCCAGGCTACATTCTTATCAACTTGGTTACAGTTGTTGAGTAATGGGTCAAATGTATTAATAGGCAGGCCATATGGTTCATAGACACTTTGGTCTCAGCAACTTGATAGGAATTCTGGTGGTATGATTTTATTTTAAATTAAGTATAAAAGTGTAAGAACCATCTGTTCTTTTTTTATGTGATCCTGGTAAGTTATTAATTTTAGTTACACTGCTCCTATGCAATTAGCACTGTTATACGTGGAGGCTTCATGGTAAAGCTGGTGTCCTTTATTTTCAGTAGTAGCGTGTGCGGAGTATGTATATCTCTTGCAGATCTTCATAAACTGAAGTAAGTTTGCCTATATGCGAACTCAGGTCTTGGGATTTATATGGCTTCTGTTTCATGGTGGTTAAATGCTTTAATTGTAGGGGTCCATTTGATTGTTTGAGAATAGGTCACATTACTAATTACTGTGGAGCAAACCAAATAGGGTATTGTGATAGAGTGGTGCCAGGGTGGGCTGCTTTAGTTAGGATCATGATAGCCCTCAAGGGAAGATAAGTTTGAGTTGAGTTCTAAAGGGTGATTAGAAGGCAGACAAATGAAGATCTGTGGTAAGCCACGTGGAGATGTGCAGACAGAAAATTCTAAGGGGAAGAAAGGGTTAGGGGCAAAGACTATGCACAGAAAAACAAGCATGGTGCAGAAAGAAGTCCTTTGGGCCACACTGTCGTGAGAGGAGGAATAATGCAGCAGCTGAGGTCATTGAGGGTCTACTCTAAGAACAATTGTGGCCATTGGAGGGTTTTAGGAGAGGAGATGAGCAACTAATTTATAGTTTTAGGAAGTTTACGCTGCCTGCTAAGTGGAAATTGAATTGTTTGGAACAAGAATGGTAGCATAGAGACCAGACAGGAGGCTACAGTTGTGTAGAAGTGATCAATGGAGAAATGATAGACTAACTTTGTGTGGTATTGTGGTATGTACAGCGAGAAGTGATAGAATTTGGGATTTTTTTTGGATATGGAATCTATTGAAAGATTCTGAGGTTTTCAGTTTGAGTAGTGAGGTGATTGGTGGTATAGTTCTTGCTCAGATGCAGAGGGCTTGATGGTTGTTTTTTGGCCAGTTAAATTTGATATGGCTAACAGATACCCACATGGAAATGTCTAGTGAGCATATGAATCTGAGGGTTAGATGAGAGGTGAAGGCTGAAATATTCATTTAAAATACATGAAGGTCAAGAATATCGACAGAGAAAGGCTGAGGTCTGGGTCCTGAATATGCCATCATTTAAAAGTTTGAAAGAGACTCCAGCAAAGGACATAGACAGAGGTAGCCAGGAAGGTTGGAGAGAACCAGGTGCCTAACAGACGTCTCTGTAGCAAAAGAGGTTCCCCAAGGAGTAACTGTGACCTCATCAGTCAGATCCAAGTGTTAGTACTCAGAACTCATATTAAAGTGCAATTCCAAAGTTTATTTCATAGCTGTTAACTCAGTGACAATTAGATCAAGCTGGGCCCAACACCTGCCTAAGGAGATCCTCAGCCACAGTGGGATCAGAAAAGGAGAATGTTTTCTCCTTTGGGGCCAGGAGGAAAGGGTCTCTTTTCAAGTTTTGATCAGAATTTGTGAGATTTTTTTTGTACCATTGCTAAAGCAGCTAAAAGATAATTAGTTTTGCTGTTGGCATTTTAATGGCAATCATATATGTAGCTGATAGGACTGTGCCACAAGTTGGTTCTTTGGAACTATTCAGTAACTGAATTCTTTTTTTTTGAGATAAGAGTCTCACTGTGTCGCCCTTGTAGAGTGGTATAGCATCATAGCTCACAGCAACCTCAAACTCAAGCGATTCTCTTGCTTCAGCCTCCTGAGTAGCTGGGACTATAGGTGCCCACCATAACACCTGGCTATTTTTAGAGACAGGATCTTGCTCTTACCCAGGCTGGTCTCGAACTAGTGAGCTCAGGCAATCCACCCACTTTGGCCTCCCAGAGTGTTGGGATTACAGGTGCCAGGCCCTCAGTAACTGAATTCTAATCAATCTCTTTCATGGTTTTAAGGGTCACCTAAATTAAAAGCCTATAACTAACTCAGTATAAGAAAGGATGCATACAAATGTTTATATTTTAACCTACTTGACGTGTTAATCCTGACAAGATAGGTCTCATAACAAATTATTTTTTTCTATTAAATCATAGCTGTGTACATTAATGCAATCATGGAGTACAACGTGCTGGTTTTATATACAATTTGAACTGTTTTCATCAAACTGGTTAACATAGCTTTCACAGCATTTTCTTAGTTATTATGTTAAGACTTTTATATTCTACACATAGTAAATTTCACACTTAACCCTTGTAAGATGTTTTTACATTTTATGTTTTCTTAGTATCAACCCCGTGGTAGTGACCTAAAGGCAGCTTTTCTGTTTGGGAGTTAACTGTCAGTTACAGGGAATTACTGCATTATGTGTTATCATTTGATAAATTATATTATTTAAGTGAGGAGTAGGAATTCTTGTACCTCTTGAAGTGAAAGCATAATGTACTCCAATAAACATTTTAAATTGAAGGACAAAACTGGGGAGTTCTACTTTTTTGTACCATGTACTATAATTTAATAGGTCATTTTGTCTGCAGTATTGTGTTTTCTCAAAACCCAAAACCAGGATCAAGTTATAAATAAGATAGCTTATTTTGGTGATTCTCATTAAATTTGGAGAAATAGTAGATTTGTTTTAAATTAAGCAAAGCTGCATTTTCTTTCCAGGAGGTTCAAGGGATGACAACTACATTAGAACCTCTGTAAGTTGACCACCCAAGGACCGTAACAAACTGGTCAACATACAGAGGGAGTCAACATACAGAACTAGGCCTTAATACATGTGGTGCATGTCTGGTCTATGAAAATTAGGTCAAGTTAAGGGGGTGGTGAGTGTCGGGAGGTAGTCAACTATGGGAGGTACGTAGGCAAAATCTGTCAATGTTTATTCTTACCTTTTACTCCACCGTCATTTAGTTGAATATTATAAGTAGGTAAAGCTGGTAAGAACATAGTAGGCTGAGAATTGCCAATAGATTGTGGTGAGGAATATTCTCTTGGTTATTTAATCAAATACTTGGTTCCCTAACTGAAGGAGACTTACCGGGAATAAATTGTCAGAAAATGTTTCTATTCCACAATTTTAGTAGAAGGACTCTATTTTTGCTGCTTTGCATAAAAACAAGATTTTTATGGTATGTGAAAGTTCTCCATTTTTCCAAGATCAAACTGAAAGTAGCTCATTTACCTGGTGAGCTCAATCCCATTTTCAAAGACTGAAGCTCAGGATGTAGGATTTTACTTCCATCCAGCTCTACCCAAGTGAGGCAGGAGTAAAACGTTAAGCCGGTCTGACAGCTGTGTACTTATTTTGTGTGAAGGTTATAAGCTGTAACAAGCCTTGCCCTTGGATCCTTCAGTAGCAGTTATCTTCCTGTGGAGTCACACTGTCCTTGGGTGGTTCCTGGTGTGCAGAACCACTCGTAGGAGGTGCAGAGTGGGAGTGAAGGAGGCTGTTGGCTCTTCTCTTCTCTCCCTTCTCTTCTCCTGCCCTCCCCTCTGCCTTGTGGGGAACCTGAAGATGAAGGGCCTTGAAGGGCCTCCTGGTGGGTCGGGCTGTGGGAAAGGGTGCACAGCCCTGGGCCTGGCACATAAATGCTCAGTAACTCCTTGAGTACTGAGTGATTGGACATCAGGGCTGATTTAGTCTTTTTGATTTACTGTAGAGAAGGGCTCCCTTTGTCTTGGGAGCCCAGACCCAGTTAAGGCACCACTTACATGTGGGAAAAGAAAACACAAGAATTCTTTGGGACACAAAGCAATAATATCTTCGTGATAAGAGCAGCTTCTTCAATCTGTTCGTGCCATTTTCCCGTTGAATAAAATCCAAGCACATCACCTTGGCTAGCAGAGCCAGTATGAACTGGCTCCCGATTTCCTTGCCGATCTCATCTTGTACCGTCCTCCAGTTCCTTGAACATACCAGGCCCTTTGCTGTCTGCTCAGCATCTGAGCCTCTGACGTTCTGATCTCTTAAAGATCCGCCTAACTGGTACGTCTTTAGTGAGACCTTCCTTGCCCTCTCTGTTATCCCCTCTGTCCCGTTATTTTATACCTAGGCATTTTGTGTACTCCTGTGTTTGTTTTCTTATCAGCCATCTGCTCCACTTACCTGAACATTTCACAAAGGAGGACTGTTTTCTGAATTGTTCAGCATGTAGTACAGTGCCTGGCTCAGAGTAAGCTCTCAATAAATATTTATTCAAATGAATGAATGGCTGTCAGCCTACCTTTCTTCAGAAATGTATTTCAAATTAAAAAAAAATTTTTTTTTGTTCTCACATTCTCAAGTTCACACTGTAAAAATTCCTTAGTCTTGGTAAAGAACTGTCTTAAAGAATAGGTTGGTGATTTAGTGCCCGTGGTCTAACTACTAATATTAGCATGTTTTATTCCTAAACTTCTAACATGTTTTTTTTTTCTTTTTTTTCTTTTATCTTTCTTTTTTTAGCAAGGGAAGCCATATGTCTTTGACAGAGTGCTACCTCCCAACACAACCCAAGAGCAGGTTTACAATGCGTGTGCAAAGCAAATTGTCAAAGGTAAGTGCTATTCCTTTATTTCCTCCTGGGCCTTTCAGAGTAATTGAAAACATTAAGTGATATTTGCAGCCCAGGAATCAATGTGCCTTGACTCTAAGAGGCTGGCTAATTGGAAACACTGAATTATAGGCTTGGCTCTGGTCTTGATTTACTATGATGTCAGGCATATTATTAATCTCACTATACCTCCTTTCCAAGGATGTTTCTTTATTTCTTTTGCCACCTCTTTCATTCTGTCACCCCAAAACTTAAAAACAGGGTAAGCCATGTTCACACTATTTCTGTAATGATTTTAAAATACTACTGCAGATGGTATAGAACTTCCTTTTTCCTTTGAAGGAGCGAATATATATTCTTGATGCTCCAGTTTGTACATCTTTGGTTGATTTATTTTGTGCATTTGTGTTCTTTTCCCCAATGTTCCTCAAAAATAAGCCTTAAATGTGGAAAATTCTTGCCATCAGGGAATTTTCTAGTGTCATAGAGCCCTATTGAGCTGTTCTTGCTACTCAACATTCCTTAATTATACTTTAACCTCGCTCACTCTCAGCCATCCCACCCTGATCCTGACACTTGTTCCTCCAAACAGGTAGCCTCAGGCCTACGTTTATGTCTGAGAGATCAGTCCTTTTCTCTGGGATTGGCATTGGCCCTGGAGGATTTGTGTCAAAATAACAGCAGGGAGATGAAGCAATTTACACGTTGCTCTACTTTGCCCTTTCAAATCAGGGACAGGTTGGAGCTTGCATTGGCAGAGCCTGCCATCTGGACAGGGCTAGGGGGCATCTCCTGCTACTTGGCTTTTCATCATCAAATCCTTGCTTTCAAATTTGAATGCTATGGCAACCGTGCTTTCAGATGTCTTGATGCTGCCACCTGTATAGGAAGCTCTGGGTTTAAAAAGCAAGATGTAAAAAAAAAAAAAACTTCATCATTTTAGATCTGCTTGTTTTTAGCGGCTGAGCTGACTAATCTAACTATTTGAAATTCATGAAAATCAGCTCTGGGTGCATCTGTGCAATTAATTCTGACCCTGGACACCTGCGTGGGAGACTCTTGTCAGTATGGAATGTTCCTTGCTGAGGTGTATGGTTATTCACATTCTTGTTACAGACATCAATTAACTTTGAAGGTCTTCATAGTGAGGTTATTACAGAAAACTGAAGAGGTAAAACACATGCCTGAATTCGAGCTCTTTGGAATTAACAGTATAGACCTATATCTGGTGGTAATTTTTGTCTTTTCTCTACTTTTGCTCTTTTGCTTCTCTTTCTATCTAAACATATTTTCTCTCTGTTTTTTACAGTATAGCTTTCTTAGTTTGTTCCTACTCAGCCCTATTTCCCTTCTATTATTGGACTCATTCATATTTTTAATAAAGTAAGATTAATCACATATGTGCCAGAATTTTCTTCTTTTTCTCTTCCCCTTCATTCTCAGAAGCAAATAGTGTTTACCACATGCTGTGCTAAGCATGAGGGCCATTTAAATGCATCCTGCCCTCCCTAAGCTGGCATAATTAGAAATGGATGTAGAAATTTGTATTTAGAAAACAAATCCTGTGATTAGCAAACTATGGTAATAATCTTTGAGTCTTTATTCACTAGAGAAGTTTGGGTCCCTTTGAATGTTTGTATTTTTCTACTGCACGGAATATCAGAAGTGAACAGTCCCTTGGGGGCAGGTCTTGTGCAGATATAACCTAACTCGGGATAACTTGAGACCCAGTATGTGGTGAGCCATACAAAATACTATTTAGAGTAAAATCAGTCTCTGACATGATATGATAAACAGATATTTCCAGGACACCATAAATATAAAATGAGCATACTCATTTGGTAGCAATAAGGGAAGCTTATCCTGTCTTGAATAGAAATTACATATTAGGGAGTGATGAAGGCCTAATTGAACTTTTAAAAATATCCACTCAGGCTAGTGTGAAGAGAAATGACTGTATTTCTGCACCAGCAAGGTAAAACAAAGAGAGATAAGAAAGAACTCCTTGGAACAGATTACTGAGTACAGCTGAGAGATCCTGCTATGAGGAGGCCTGTTTAAATTGGGAATGGGAGATAGTGCCGTGAGGCCTTTTTTCCTCGAGGCCAATAATTAAATCAGATGACTTCTGAAGGTCAATATAATCCCCATGACTCATGATTATGTGGTGGACTGGTGAGTTTTCTTTTCAAGTCTATCTAAACCCTTAATAATTTGGAGCATCTGGAAGCCTCCATTTAATGACATGGCTTTATTCGGTCTCTGTTTTTTTCATTACCTACAACTTCACTGGGTTTGAAAAACATATTTCAAATGGTCGTGGAGTCCTGGAATGGCTCATGCTTTCATCTTTGTCTAGCTGCCTGCTAAAGATGAGGGCTTTTTTTTTTTTT